CGCTCGTCTGTGAACAATGTGTTAGGTGTTTTTTAAAGTGAGCCTGATCTATATAATCCAGAATTATTATTTCCTCTTCTCCGATTTTTCTCCCTTTTCCCATCTTTCCCGTCTTCCCCACTTAAAATCTTCCCTTCTTTCTTCTTTATCTTTAATTAGAACAGAGAATATACATTCTCTGTTTTCCAGCAATTAAATTGTCGCAGCTGGAATTTTAATGTGCTATTTTAGCCCATTCTCCGCTTATATTAAAGCTACACATATAATACAGGGAGAATAGAATTAATATTGNAAGGGTGAATTAAACTCTTACTCTCTCGTTCTCCGAGTTTTCTTAATTCTCTTAGTTCTCCTCGTTTTTCTGGTTTTTCCGATTCTCATAATTCTCCTAGTTCTCCTGGTTCTGCTTATTTTCCTAGTTCTTCTAGTTCTCCTAGTTCTCCTATTTCTCCTATTTCTCCGGGTTCCCCTGGTTCTCCAATTTCGTTTGGTTTTTCTGGTTCTTTTGGTTCTCCTGGTTGTCCTAGTTCTCCTGGTTCTCTTGGTTCTCCTGGTTCTTATGATTCTCCTGGTTCTCCTGGTTCTTCTGGTTTTCCTGGTTCTCCTAGTTTTCCTGTTGTTTTTGGTTCTCCAGGTTCTCCTAAATCATCTAGTTCTTCTAGAACTACGTGTTTTCCTAGTTCTCAAGTTCTCCTAATATACCTGGTTCTCACAGTTCTTCTGGCTCTCCTAGATCTCCTAGTTCTCCTAGTTCTTCTAAAATACTTGAAACTCACAGTTCTTCTGACTCTCCTAGATCTCCTAGATCTCCTTGTTCTCCTAGTTCTCATAATATACCTGGTTCTCACAGTTCTTCTGGCTCTCCTAGTTCTCCTAGTTCTCTTATTTCTACTAGAGAACTAAGTTGTATTCATAATTTTAATTCAGAGGGTGGGGAGAATTCCAAGTAATAAATTGAATCCCATCAATTCTCTTTTTGAACTTTAATTCTTGGAATATTTAAATGGAAGCCGGAAGTTGAGGAAATAGAAAATAATTTATTTATCATTTTACAAATTATTGCCAGAGCATTTAAGCTTCCGCCTTTGTTTATTTGCTATTAGTTTTTGCAACAATTTTCAGATTCATATTTTCAAAGACATCCATTAACAATAACTTTTCATGTAATTTCCGACATAAAACATGTCCTCGTCTATATTTGGTTTATGTTTTACATTCAGAAAAAATATTTGAAAGCAGCAATCAGAAAATTAAATACAGTTTTATTTTAAGGATGCACATGTTGAAGCACAAATTGAGTTTATATTTATTATCAATTCTTATTATAATATTTTCAAGCAATTCTTTTAATTGAACTATTCAAAAAAAAAAATAAAAGTTTGTCACTAAGGAATTGAGCTTTTGCCACAAACTCTGATTTCGATTCCCTATCTTTTTGCAACCTAACGTCATAGAACTATTTTCAAACCATATATTCTGTTATATCAAGTAATCTAAGTGTGAAATATCAAAGATTACATCCTCAGGTTGCAAAGTTATAGGGATCAGAAAATTTGAGTTTGTGGCAAATACTCCATTTCTTTATACTTGGTGCATGAAGTATATTTGAATAAAAATAATTTTTAAAGCTGCAAATTCATTTAAATATTACATACATACATCTTGAAAAGAACTCAGTATAAATAAACCAAGATTGAGTTGAATAATACCACATTGTTGCACACATACATATATTTACATTTATACAAACGATCAGTGTTGGACCAACTAAAGTTGATCTAAATAACACAAAGACAATCGCCTAAGGGCGAGATTTAAGGTGCCAGCATTAAGGCATGAATAAATAAACGATAATTAATCTATCAGCCTAAGGGCGAGTATTTTTTCATTCGACTCTTCTCTTCAGATACTTCGGGCTGACTAACTCTCAGGACATAAGATGGCCGACGATATTGCTTTCTCTGCCGACAGATAATGCTGTTCCTCCTTTCTCCAGTATCATGTATTTCCCAGAAAGCATGCAATAGAATTATAAGTAATCGAATCAATCAATTTAGAATCTCAAAATCAAACTAAGAACATTCCCATGAGTCTCCCCAATGCCCCAATACAATTTTGAGGCAAATTGGTCCATGGGTTCTTGAGTTATGATCTGATAAGTAAAAAGATAAATAGAGATTGCAAACTTAAAAATTTTTTTGACACAACGGCATACAATGCAATGGCCAGAATTATGCACTTCATTATCTATATCTAAATTTAGCTTGTCTGTTTGTCTGTTTGTATCCAATAAACTATTTCTTTGCAACTCAGTTTAAATTATCTAACAAAATTCATGGTTTGAAATATCTAAGGTCTACAACATTGAGTTGCAAAGATATTTGGATTAGAAAGTCAAGAGCTTGTTGCAAAGACTTTAATGTTTTGTACGTCCTGCCCAAAAATTAAGAAATATATAAATAATAATTTTCTATTTTTATATTTCCTGCAGATGCGAATGAGAGACCGGAAAAGAATGAATGCTAAAAGAATACAGAATCTTTATTCTATCTCTAGATCTTTCTTTTTCACCAGTTCTCTATAGAATTCTTTATCCAACATTTTCTTTTACATTTCTTGCCTATCTTATCTTTAATCTATTCTCATACAACGGGTTACCTTGGTAGTAATATAGATATGGGCATCATTGTTGTTAAAGAACGGCATTTTTTGAGAACAAATCAAATTTTTCTTGAACAATGGACGAACGATTTGGATCGTTCAGAGTAATTGATAAATGAATGAAAAACAAAACAAAACTGAATGCTATAAATTGATTAAAATAATTTTTTTATACCAATTTTGATCATTCATGAACAATTCTCAAAGCGTTTGATTAAACAAACTAGAAAAAACGACAGTTTTTCTGTTTTCACCGGTGATTATTTTAAAACTAACTTTTGGCAAAACGTTTGTTATATATAGTGAAAGAACAATTTGGTACCAGCACAAACGTAGGACACACAAACGTCGGACGGCAGAAACCTAAGACTTACAAACGTTGGACAGTACAAACGTCGGACCAGTACAAATGTCGGACCTGTACAAACGTCGGACTGGTACACACGTCAGACAGTTCCAACGTCGGGCAGTACCAACCACGGACCAGTACACACGTCAGACTAAGGAAGACAATTTAATTTAAATTGATTTTTTTAAATTTGCCACAAACTCAAATATTCTCATCCCTATATCTTTGCAACCTGATGGTAGTAACCTTTTATACTTTCAAACTTAAATTGAAAAATCCAACGAACGAGATCGGGTTACAAATATATAGGGATTAAAGTATCAAGAGTGTGTGACAAGAACTCAACTTATTTGTTACTTATACAGTGCCACCTTCAAAGAGTTAAGACTTTATTCAGTTGTCTTTGATTTTTATCTCAATAAACGAGTGGTTTTAAATTTATTTCTTAGAACAATGCAGTATTTTTTCAAAACTCAACCAAGTCCGACGTTTTTCCGTAAAATGTCCCTGTCCAATGTTTGTACTGGTCCGACGTTTTTACTAGCCCGATATTTGTCCCTTTCCGAGGTTTGTACCAGTTAGACGTTTGTACCAGTCCGACATTTGTACTGTTCGACCTTTGTACCGTCCGACGTTTGTACAAGTACCAACAATTTTATTGAACAATCGTTCAGTGAAAAAAACGACAAAATAGACGGAAAATGAACGATAATTTTGAGAACGAACAAAATCATTTTTTTGGACGATTGAAATAAAACGAAATTAGTCGTTCGCGAACATTCGCGAATGATGAACGAACGAAATAAAAATATAGTCAAACTTAACCATCTCTAAAACCAATAGTGATAGAAACTGTTCAGCCATACAAAGACTAAACAATATATTTATTCATGGATAGTATACATTATACCGATACGACGAAAAAGCGTCAAATTTTGTATCCGAATTTCTCTTATCAATCCTAAAATCTCTTCTAAAATTTCCCCTTTTTCTTTTACGGATTTTAAAGGTGTTTTTTATGTGTGTGTTTTAATAGAGAATTACATTTTGAGGAAAAAGTTATATTTTTATAAGTTCAATCTATGCAAGGCGTAACATATTGGCCAACCTCAAAAAAGACATTTTTTGTTTTGTTTTATAGAAATATATATATATTACTTCTCATTTTTAAATTTTCTTAAATACTTTTGTTGCAATTAGAATCAATTTTATTCAAATATCCAGAGACTGAATTTAATTAACTGAATCTTTAACTTTAAATCAGTTTTTCAAATTTTAACCGGCGTTATATAGTTTAGCGACCTAGTTCATATTCGTTAAATTTGGTTCCAGATCACAACTACGACACTTGAAATCGTTGCACGAGTATTGGTACTTTATAGTTAAGGTGTAGCTGCAGAAACTATTAAATCAAATTATGTTTTTCAAAAATAATTTTGACGATACAATTAACATTTAAACCTTTATTTTTTTGGGAGGGGGATTATCTTCAGCTTCTTATATTTAATCGTTTTAAAAAAAACATACATTATTTGCAAATTTTAATCTAAACAAATTTTTCAGTGTTGAAAGTGTATTTGACAACCTCCTAACTCTCTTATCCCAATTGAGTTTTCCTTATTCTGCCTGGGTTTGACTTTTATATGGGCAAATATGTAAATATGTCAAATTCCTTGTTAAAAAAATGTAGATTTTCATTTAATAGATAATAAATGCTGTGAAGATATGGACCCCTGTATAACACAAAGATAAGGATAAGGAATTTTCGAAAAATATCTTTATCTCCCTTTGTAGTGTTTACTTTATAATTTAAAAAATTATTTCTTAAATTTTAAGGTAAAATATAACAAAAAAATATTTGAAACAACTTTTCAAACGTTTTATATTTAAAAAAGAGTATATTTTTCAAACACTTTAAATACGTCAAAAATATATTTGCCTGAGGGCAAATAAAAAGCAAGGATGTTGAATTTTCCTTTAGTTCTCTCAGAGAAACAACATGGATTTAAAAACAAAATTTGTTTTTTGCCTGACTTTAGCTTTCAGCTCAGCCTCATCTCTTACAAAAGGTCCATTTTATTTAAATACAATTTTTTATGTGAACAACCAAGATATTATAAAGGGTTGGATAAATTAGGCCTAGATGAAACACCACAGGTTGAGAGAGGGGCCTAGCTCGCATAGCACTATACGGCTAAGGCAGGCTAGGAGTGCCGAGCACTGTGGCCAGTACAGGCTAGGAGTGCCGAGCACTGTGGCCAGTGCAGGCTAGGAGTGCCGAACACTTTGGCCAGTGCAGAACAGGAGTGCCAAGCACTGCGGCTAGGGCAGGTTAGGAGGGCTAAGCACCGCGTCAAGGGCAGGCTATGAGAAATGGACGAATTTTTACATGGAAAAAATAATACAGCAAAATCGGAGTGCATACAATACGCCCAAAAACAAAATGCCCGATAAGAATACTGCCAATCACAAAATGCCCTTTGCTATTAAGCGATCAATGTATTCGAAAAATCTCGAAAAAAACTCCAAAACTCAAAACAATTAATGTATCAATACTTTTGGAGTTAAATAAGTTTAAAACTTTAACTCTAACACACATATATCTAGATGAAAATTAATGTAGATATTTTTGTCAAATTGTTAGTCTTTCATTTGATTTATAATTTTAATATATTTTGTAGGACACAAAACAAAAACTTGCAACTAATCAGTAAGATTCCAGATTAAAACTGGAACTTTGAGAAATCACAGTTAAACATTTTAGAATTTTCTGGGGAGAAATCATCAGCCTCAATATAAATACACTCTTAACACCCACAAAATCTTGTCCACACACTCAAATTTTCAAATCCCTACAAGCTTTGATATAGGGATGAAAAAATCAGAGTTCGTGACAAAAATTCAATTTCTTTTTACGTCTTTTGATGCGTTTTTTTGCATTGGGCGCTATTTCACATTGACAAAAATTCAATTTCTTTTTACGTCTTTAGATGCGTTTTTTTGCATTGGGCTCTATATCGCATTGGGCGTTATATCGCATCGGCGTTATACCTTATATCCCATTGGACGTATGTTATTGGACTTTTTTACAAGGATGTTTTGTTGCGTTTGTTTAGGCATTTTGTTTTTGGTGTTTTTTACATTTGGCATTTTGTCTGAATAGAACTGGAGAGGACTGAAGGTAATGGTACCCTGGAGTGTCCTGCCTATGGTTATGATTGTTTCTTGAATGACATTGAACAAGGAGCCATTTCAACGTAATTCCCTTTAAAGAAGATTTTGAATTATTAGTAACAAAGGAAATAAGTGATAAAAGAGTTTTTCAATTTTTTTAAACAAACTTTTAGTGTTTAACTTTTATGTCCACTAATAGAGAACAGTCAAGTTATTAATTTTTAAAATTATTTCTGAAATATTTTTCCAATTACACATTGAAATCAATTGACCCCCTCTTTCTTGTACAAAAAGGGTTCTAGAATAGAAAAAAAAAACAATTTCTAGCTGAAGGGGTCTCTGAAAAAAGTGTGTTTAGGCTTTTTTAGCCTACTAAGCATCGTTCAAATTTGCTAAAAGGGCTTTAGGTACAATACCCATGCAGATTAAATGATGAAACATTTTTATTTAAAATACCGTATTAATCTTCAAAAACAAATGTGCAGGGAAAGTATAACTCTAAAAATATAACCAAGCTTTGAACAAAAATATAACTCTAATAATATAACCATCAAAAATATAACGACCAAAAAATAACCACAAAAAATATAACCATGTTTTGACCAAAATATAACGACTAAAAAAATAACCATCAAAAATATACCCATTTTTTTACCAAAAATATAACATTTTTTTACCAAAAATACACACATTTTTTAACCAAAAATATAACCATTTTTTTACCGAAAATATAACCATTTTTTTAACCAAAAATATAACCATTTTTTAACCAAACATATAACCATTTTTTAACCAAAAATATAACCATTTTTTTACCAAAAATACAACCATTTTTTAACCAAAAATATACCCATTTTCTAACCAAAAATATAACCATTTTTTTACCAAAAATATAACCATTTTTTAACCAAAAATATAACCATTTTTTAACCAAAAATATAACAATTTTTTTAACCAAAAATATAACCATCTTTCACCAAAAATATAATCATTTTTTAACCAAAAATATAACCATTTTTTAACCAAAAATATAGCAATTTTTTAACCAAAAATATCATCATTTTTTGACCAAAAATATAAACATTTTTTAACCAAACATTTAACCATTCTTTAACCAAAAATATAACTATTTTTTAACCAAAAATATAACCATTTTTTAACCAAAAATATAACAATTTTTTAACCGAAAATATAATCATTTTTTGACCAAAAATATAACCATTTTTTAACCAAAAATATAACAATTTTTTAACCAAAAATATCATCATTTTTTGACCAAAAATATAAACATTTTTTAACCAAAAATTTAACCATTTTTTAACCAAATACAACTATTTGTTAACCAAAAATATAACAATTTTTAACCAAAAATATAACCATTTTTAACCAAAAATATAACAGTTTTTTAACCAAAAATATAATCAATTTTTAACCAAAAATACAACAATTTTTTAACCAAAAATACAACAATTTTTTAACCAAAAATATCATCATTTTTTGACCAAAAATATAAACATTTTTTAACCGAAAATCTAACCATTTTTTAACCAAAAGTATAACCATTTCTTAACCAAAAATATAACATTTTTTTTTACCAAGAATCAAATTTTGTTCATACCAAAATGCGATTTCTCTGAGTTTTATCAAATAAAAATCATAAATGCTATTTCAATAAATAGAAAATGTTCTAGTTAATTTAAGAAAATTTGCAATTTACGAAGAATCATTGTCAAGTATCCATCTCCACGAGCAAAATGTACACATTCCTGTCCTGTTAGAAAGGGGAGACACTTTAGTAGACAAGAGTGGGCATAGGTATACAATACAGACCTAAAAGAGAGTATGAAAAAGAAAACCTACATATGCATGCAGGACGCAACAAGTATACATGTGAGGCCTTGTCATATATACATTGACAAGGCAGACAAAACATATTTTTGGTCTGTTATGTTTTTGGTCGTTATGGTTTTAGTAAAAAAATGGTTATATTTTTAGTCAAAAAATGGCTATATTTTTAGTCAAAAATGGTTATACTTTTGATATTTTCGGAAATGCAGGGACCGAGCACATTTTCGATTATAATGCCTAATTTTGAACGGCTTTTTTGAGAAAAATGTTTTTTAACACAAAACAATTATGTTCAGCAGGCTAACAAGCCTGAACTCGTTTTTTCAGAGACACCTTGTATGTGTCTTACCAAATAAATTGTAATCCTTTAATCTTTGCAACCTGATCTCAACCTTAAATACTTAGATCTTACAAAATTGGTAGTTTAAATTCTAAAGGGTGCATTGGGTTGCAAAGATAAGGGATAAGAAAACTACATAGAGTTTATGACAAAGAATCAATTCCTTTTGATGTCTAGAAACTGGAAAGATTGTGCTTATCAGTGTGCTAACCACAAGGTGAAAAGAAATTATGATTGCTAGTAAAAAAGGTTATAAGCGTAGACTTTAAGCGTAATTTTAAGTGGCCTTCCAGTTAGACTAGACTAATCCTTTTTAATATATTAAAAGGCTTGTAATTGCTAAATAATTTGATTGCAAGCTCTAATATTTAAAAGTTGCAGTAAATAACAATTAATGTTAGAAGACTGCCATCCGCCTAGTCTGCTGTTGGACCGATGAACTGTATGTCAATACAATACACCCGTGCAAGAAAAACCTCTGAGCTATACTAGCTAAAAGCCCGATCAAATTTTTGATCAAAATTTTGATTAAAATTTTTATTAAAATTTTGATTTGATTGCCTTTTTATTTTAAGACTTGTGTGTACTGGTCTTGGGTAGTAACAACGTCGGGAATAAATCCCGGGGTCTGCTTTCTAAAGGTAAACAAACAGAAAACAACAACCATATATTAAAAGGGATATAATACAGATAGAACACTAGATGTCGTCTTTCAAGATTTAGAGATTTTTCGTTTACAATAATCCTGAGGCAGAGGCCCAAATGAGTAATGCGCATTTGTTGAATCATTCAACGATGTATGGGCATAACTTCTTTGGGCGTCTGAGAACGAAACATCCCTTAATCTTGAAAAGACAACATCTATAGTGTTATATCTGTATTGTTATTAATCATTGACAACAACTATCAGTCAAAACAAGAATAATGTAGAAAATTTGTCAAATTAATATTTTTATCAGATGTCCCTGATCTCGACATTCTTTTATATCAATTTCTCGAGTATAGAGATGGGCATTATATATTTTTTTAATTTCTTACGGTATTTTTCAATCATTCAAAAAAAAAATGATTTCGTTCGGTCTCAAATATTTTTTTTATTTTCCAGCTATTTTGTTCGCTTCTAAATGAACGATCGTTAAAAAAATCGTTCGTTTATTAAGAAAAACTCTTTTTCACGAAAAATTTCGTTAGTTAAAAAATTGATGCCAATCTGAACTCGAGACAGGGACATCAGATAGAACTATTATTGTTCGCAATTAACTCTTAAATTCTAGACTTTAGCCTATACCCCTGTCAATCTTAACAGCCCCGTTAAGGGGTAACAAATTTGTTCACATTCTCCCCCCACCATCTTTGGTAATATTTCCCCCTCCATTTTCCAGAAGATACATTACAAGGAAAGACTCCGTGCTTATGTTCCAAATTTGAGACTCAATGTCAATTCCAAATCGCGGTTTGGAACTTTCTCTCCTTTTATTATATATATTGCACAGATTGCACTTTGAATCTAATCTTGTTTATCGTTTTTGAAAACATACAACTCGTTTTGAACTTTTAGAAAACGAATAACGATCGTTTTGAAAATGATCGTTTTTTAATACAATTTTTTAAAAAATATCTATCGTTTTTGAATTTTTTTTTCATTGATAAATATGTTAACGATCGTAAACGAAGGGTAGTCGTTAACGATCGTTAACAAAGGGTCGTTGTTTACGATCGTTAACGAAGGGACGTCCTTAACGATCATTAAGGAAACGGCGATCATTTTTCAAAACGATCGTTTTTAAAAATGATTGTTTTGAAAACGACCGTTTTTTAAAAACGAACTTTTTTTCGTATTTTTTATAACAAAACGATCGTTTTTAAAAATAATGAAAACGTTAACATCCTTATTTGATTCACTCGACTTGCTTTAACCATATAAAGGCTGGGGGTCTGAATCTATGTATAGCCTTATAGAATAGGTATAGGGTTGAAATGCATGTTCATAGCCCAATTTTTCAAGGCCAGCTCATTGAAAAAAAATAGACTGATAACTTTTGTAGTTTGGGTGCTAGGGAGGGTTGAAAAAATTGCCAAGAAAGTGTCAGAAAATTGAAAAAATATTTTTTTTAGTTTTAAACAAAAATTAAAGTGTGATACATGTTTCTACATCCATTTTTTATGAGGGCTTTTCAAAAATGTAGTTTTAAGATCTGTCGCTTCAGTCACAAAAAAGTTCTGGGCTATTTTATATATTTTTTTTACAGACCGAACTTTTCCGCCTTGTACCCTTCCATATGCATTAAAATACTGTTTACAAAAAATCCTTTAAATTTCCATTCATTAAAAGTCACAAAACTTCATGGAGATAGTGTCAAAAATGACAGTGCCAGGAAAAAAATAATAACAGGGGGTGACAATTATCCCCACTCCTGTGTAGGGTTAAATAAAACAAATCAATGAAAATACTTATTTTTTATTGTTAGACTTTAAAATTGTGGTAAAAAATTCAAAAATAAAAATGTGTTATTATTTATTTCAGAGTATGTGTCCCCTGCCCCTCGCTAATCCACTCTTCATCTCTGGACACTTTGATTGCCCTTTTTCTAAGGAAGACTAGAAATAGTTTAATTGTACGTATGTAACCATTTAAAGGGACTGTTCATTTATAGAGTTGTATGTCTGATAAACATAGAATGAGATATCGCCATTGTTCTTTGTTTAAAAATTGATTATTTTCATTTGCAGGTTTTCCATAAAAGCTATTTGCGCATTTCTGCTTTAGAAACAATGGAGAAAATTGTTGGAAGTAATCACTTTTCAAGCTAGAAAAACAACAATATCTTCCACTTTGATCAGAGAAAGGTTAAAATGGGATTACATGTGAATCGGACATGCTAAGTAGAGGGTTAATCAAAATTACCCCATTCAGTCCCTTACATACATAATTCAAAGCGATAATAAATTAATAACAATATCTATTAAGACATTCGTAAATATTTTCCTTATCGCAGGCTAAGCGCCTGGGCCGAATGGGTAGACATTTTTTGTTGACACTCATTGGTCGCCTCAGGATGCATTACATAGGCTCAAAAAATGAGATTTTTGTTCAAAATTTTTTTGTTTTTGTTTTTCCCTTCAGCTAGAATATACGCATGTTTTGACAGTGGTAGCCAGAAAACAATGGAATGCCTGTAAAATCTATAATTTATTTTATGACGAAATGTCGTCAAGGATTTTTTGAAATGATTAATTTCGTTCAATATTCCTTAAACATTCTAAATGCAAAATACGAACAAAGACAACAATTATTGAATGTATATGAACAATTTTCGGTGTTTATATTAATACAATGAAGACGATTTTCCTATATAAAAATAGTTTTTTTAAGGGTTGGAAAATTCAAAAACATAATATCCAAAGAACGAAGATTTTTGTGTGGCTTGGAGGATAAATTGTTGTGGTTGGCCTTCTTCCCCTAATGAAACACTTTGACGTGGATCAGATATAAGATATCTTTGTATTTTGAAATTGCACGTCAACGAAAAGTATAAAAATGAAAATTTTGCCCCAAACTCTGATTTTTTAATCCATATCTCTGCAACCTGATAAATATCTTGTATCTTGTATCTCAAACTATGAATTTTGACGATTTATTAATCTAAGCTTGAAAAAACAAGGAATTACAATCCGGTTAAAAAGACAAAGGAATTCTAAAATTTGAGTTTGAGGCAAAAGTTAAATTCCTTTCAAAATGAAACTTTTTATTTGGAACACGAAAAAATAATAGTTTTGATTGTTACACATTTTTTGTGTTTGCAAACATTTATTTTCTATCGTGTAAACAAAATTTAGAAATAAGCGACAAAGCACACATTTATTTAGGGATTAAGATCATCAGATCCAAGGGTGTAATGTAATGAAAGTTAATTGCGGTTGTGTATACTCTGCGTACACATTGAAACCAGTTCTCTCTGGGCGGAATTTGTAAACAATAATAGATGCATCAGTGTTCGTTTAGTATCCGAATAGGTTAAAAGCATAAAATTTTGATAATTTTGATAATTCATATAATAGTTGCCTCAGACCAGAAAATTTCATTGATTTTTTTATGTAAAAGATGGATCCCATGTCTGGCTTAGACATCCGTCTTGTGTTTACATTAGCGCCCAGAGACAGTATACTGCAGTACAAAACATGTGTACACTTCTGAAATAACTTTCCTTGCATAACATCCTTGATCAGATCAAAACAAGTTTTTATTTATCATTAAGCTTTAATGAAACATCAACTATTTTACAACTTAAAGAAAATTTTCAAGTGTTCAGCCTCTGGGGGTTTAACAATTTAAACTTGAAATTGTATCCGAAAACTTAAAATTGTATTTGATATTTGTTTCTGTATATCTACCATGTTTCATAATTCTATTCTTCTACAAGGATTCTTGTCTTGAACTTTTCAAATGGCCCTTCAACTGTACCCTTCAAAACGGTATCTGATCAATGTGGGAGGTATCGCCGTTTTTCTAGGTTTAAAAGTGATTAATTAATATTTGTTTTTTAGTAATGCTCACAAGTTAATTTTGGAGAGAATCCCAAATTTGAAATCAAAATCATTAACATTGCTATCTAATTCATACAAGATAAGACAAAGCTTTCAAGGGTACCGTTGTAAATCGGGAATTGAATGTTTAATGACACGTTAGTGTTCAAACCATTCGAGAATGAAAAAAGTAATCTTACATTTACACTTTAGCTTAATGTTAAACGATTATCTATTATAGTTTGTTTTTGATTGTTTGTTAAGATGGGGCATGTATATTGTATATAAGTGTTTGTTAAGATGGGGCATGTATATAAGTGTTTGTTAAGATGGGGCATGTATATAAGTGTTTGTTCAGATGGGGTATGTGTACGAGTGTTTGTTAAGATGGGGCATGTGTATAAGTGTTTGTTAAGATGGGGCATGTGTATAAGTGTTTGTTAAGATGGGGCATGTGTATAAGTGTTTGTTAAGATGGGGCATGTATATAAGTGTGTGTTAAGATGGGGTATGTGTACGAGTGTTTGTTAAGATGGGGCATGTGTATAAGTGTGAATATAAGTGTGTGTATATAAGTGTATATTTGTTGGGTAGGTATATTTATATTTCTTCTTCCCATATATTTTCAGTTTTTGCACCTAGGAGTTTTCTCAATAAAGAGTATTTCCAATATAGATAGGAAGATAGGTTCATTAAAAGGGACACAAAACATAACTATTCAAAAATAATAGCCCACCAAAAAACTACCAAATACGAAAATCTACTATAATTTCACTGGCAGCTGTAGTACATTTGAATTTCCGAGCCGGGTCAACCTTTCCGGTCCCGGTTTGTACTGTAACTAGCACTATGGACAGGGCTAGCTGGTGCAACAAGGTTGACACGGTCATACTTTATGCTTCATATAGGTTGAATTTACTTTTACTAAAGGGGCAGAGGTGCGTGATTTGGTGAACATATGTTTAGAGTTAAGATTCACTCAAGGTTTAACAAGTACCTATAGTTCAAAATAAGATTATATCTTGGTTTACAAAATACTGCAGTTCACATTTAGGCAAATTCACCATGAGTATTTTCATGCAAAATCATTTAACTTTGGTCAGTCATAATATATTTTTGTTATTTCGGTGCGTTGACTTTAATTCATATAGATATCTAGTACACAAATTAGTGATATTTATTTTTTAAATAAAATTTTTTAACAACATTTTAAAAAGTGCAGCGAATTTTTTCTGACTTGTGCGTTGTTTTTTAGCTAATCTGCAGTTTTCATTTTTCCAGGAATGCAGACTCAACCAATTGAAGGTCCAGGTTCAAATTAATTGCTCAATATTCTTACACAGGTTGCAGAAAATAAATTTCATTTCACTAAGCAGGGTTTGAAAATTCTAAGGATATTAATTGTCAGAATTCCGCCTTAATAATGACAAGATAAGCTGATATAATAACCTCTAAAACTAAACAAATCCGACAAAAGGTTTTAAAAAAAAAATTTAAAAGAAAAAAAAATATTTGAAATTATTTTATTTCGAAATGAAATGAAAGGATGTTATTATTGCAAATCCTATTAAAGTAAAAATTAGAATTTTGGACCTGCAAAATATTTTTTATACCATTTTTCCATTTTTTCCATTATTTTTTCTTAAACATATATAGTTCGGGGAATATTAAAGATATGAGTAATTGTAGCGTTCTTGCCCTTTAATTGATAAAATGAATAATAGTTTTTTTTTGAAAAATAGATAGAATCCCACAGAGAGAGAGAGGAGCGTATATGAACAGGGGTAGGGCTTTTGGGGGGGGGGGGAGAGGGGGTCATAGAAATGCAGTAACCAAAAAACAATAATTGAAAATTTATCATTTTTTATCACATAAAAAGAATTGTTCAGGTATTGCAGTTCTCATTATGATTCGATTTTTAGATTTTTGAACATTTTCGAAAAATACTCAACATTTCTGATCACAATTGTGCACTGTAATGTCGTGTTTAGTCGCTAAAGATTTTCTCCTTGGAGGAATACATGATTAACGTACATGGGACTAAGACAAAACTATTTTCAAGTTGCATTCTGGACAATATAATGCTTTTCTGAACTCATCTTAACCGTGCAAATATACTGCAAATATAAAGTTTGCATTAGTGCAAATACAATCTTTAGTGCAGATTGAACAACATACTTTTAGAATAGAAAAATTTAAAAACCTTGCCCAAAGTTTCTTTGCATGCAACTGTTTTTTCGGAAAATATAAGTTTATTAAATAACGGAAATCAAATATAAAATTTAAGCTATGGCATCCATTTTTTTCAGAGACACCCAATAATGGTGCGTTTCTTAAAAACGTCTTTCATGTGATTCTTAACATGTAATGGGGGGGGGGGAGGACTTATCGTGAAAACAAAAATATATTCATAGAATATTATGAATACATATGTTACTGTAATATTATCATCTAGATGTTTATTTCTAAGTACATAATATAGAATATATTGCGATGAAATATGGTTAGCTACTCTGACAAGACAATTTCGGGTCGAATTAAAGAATCGTCTAGAGAATATACAGTTAGATAGATAGACGTAAAAAGATAATCCGGTAACCAACATCTCGCCGTTGAGAAGGGCGTGTTCGTTTTTTTCCTTCTAATTATGTTCGTTCATCGTTCGTGACGAACCCATTTCGTTCGTTTTAAAAAGTGTGTTTCAAAATTATTTCGTTCTAAAAACTATAGTGTTTGTCCAAAATCTTTAGAAAAATTGGTTCGTTCAGCAAAAAAAAAAAACTATATTTTTTTCAAAATTGTTCAAATAATTTATTTCGTTTGTTTATATTTTTTTCTATCTTTTTGTAATTTTTTTAAACGATCAAAGTCGTTCGTCTATCGTTCATTTTTTTAATTTTTTCGTTCGTTCTCAAAAATTTCGATTGTTCAAAAAACGCTGCCCATCTTTAGCAGTATAACCGTAGTTTCAGTAAGAACAACAAATTTCAGTCTAGGCCACAATTTGTTGTTGTTACTTTTACTCTTCAAAACTTGTGCAGTACAGTATAAATGCTAAACAAAGCTAGCTAAGGGAGAGGGGGAAGGCAGGCGGCCATGAGCCACCACTATTTCCCCTCACGTGCCACATATTACCTTTTTTCTCTTTCGGCAGCCATGAGCCACCAC